TTACGGAACAGATCTTCCTTGCACCTTGGATGTGAATTCTGCTCTAGAGAATTGAGGCCGTCGTCCTTGTTCCAGGCAAAATCAGTCAGCAATAGAGTCAGTTATTAATCTTTTTCTGACTTCCATCAGAAGTTTCTGGTTTTTGTCATTGGCATGCCTTGCTTATGGAAAGGAGGCATCATTGCTTCCAGAAGGAGTTGACATAGAGTGGAAAGAAACAAAAGCTTGGATTATCAAAGTCTCACATGGTTAGCAGGGGACTTAAAAGGAGAAATAGCTGCCTAGTAAGAATAGTTCAGTATTACTGGCTGTTTGAGCAGTTCTTTTTTCCATTCAGCTTTTGACAAAAATAGCTATAAAGGAACATGTGAACCTCAGAGCATGCCGTCTCTTTTTTGATATATCTTGGCTTACATTTGTCAGCTTTAGATTCTCTAGTATGGCACATTTAGTCTGTGCAAAATGCAGAATACAGGAGATTGGCTTCTTGGGCCCAAAAAATCCTTTGACTTCATTCCTGAAAGATGATGATTGCTTCAGTGATACTATATTGCTTGCTCAAAGCAAGTGGTTTGAATCAATAGCTCTTCACTGCTGATCATATTCTGTCTGATTTACTGTTAAGTTCATTCACTCAATTCTTCTGTTTGGGAGCTCACACTAAGATTTTGAATGTACCTTATGCTTTTTCCTGTCAATCAGACATGCACCTTATTTTGGCTCCAGAGTAGGGAAGATATTCAGCTTGTTCGGATGGATTCAGATTCTTCTTCCTGGCAAGAGGAGTCTCACAACCTTTTCTACAAAAACCACTAACCTAGTTTCAACACACTATCTTTGCATTGCCCCTGAAAACATGTTTCCACAATCTGCAGGCTGTGAATAATTCCCTGATATGCAGATTATTGACCTTATCTGGGAGCATCAAAGCACTGCAGTCAGTGTGCTGATTCTATACCTACAACGGAAGGTTCCTTTCAGCAGTACATCAAGTAGTATCTGGGAATCTGATAAATATAATGCAGTATTTGAACTGATTCCAGGTTCTGTGCCTAGCAAGAATTCGATCTTTTGTCTATGCCAATGGAAGTCAAGGGGAATCTTGCTTTTCTCAACTGGGCATTCAATAAAGTATTCACATAGAGGGATTTGGCTTTCCTCCTTTGAGCCTGCTGCTGCTTTTCACTTAGAAGCACTCTTGATGCATACATTCAAATAGTGCAGTGAGGGAAAACCTGGGTCCTCAGTGCTAGGAAGACAAAATGCTATTCCCAGTGTCATACTGTTGTACCTGGATGGCACAGCATGGCACAGCACTGAAAATGGACACTTGTACAGTAGGTAAGTTCCAATGACAGTGTAAATACAGCTCAGCATGCCTCACATTTGCCACAGAGGGAGCAGCTTGCAGAGAAGAGATTGTGCTAGAAGAATTTCAGTGCCCGTTAAATATAACTTTCTGTGATGTCTTCCTTACGGCACTGTCTTCGACAAAGTGAATTAATGTCTTTTAAGTGGCTTCAGAGCCTCTCAGGTATAATTATCACATTGTGATTTTTTTTTTAACTGAGCTCTGATTTGAACCAGTGACACAAAAGGAAAAGAAAAATATCATTGTAATAACCAGACTCTTGTACATGCTGTTCTCATATTGTTTCCATGGGGCATTGTTGGTTACCTCTTTATATAAGATTCTTTGTGCTTCTTGTGTATCTTAAAGCGTGATTGAAAATTACATCTATTCAGACATGCACAGCTGGGTTAGCTACCTGTGGAAACTCACTACTTCCATTTCTTTGGCTCCTAGTCTTTGAAGAGGGTCTATGGATAGATACAAAATCTTGCTTATATTTGATACTCCTCTTTTTTTCTTTAATACATATTCTGATGCGTCATCTACTCATCAGTTCATAAACCCACAGGTTAGTGGTTCTCAAGGTGTTGAACCTTCTTGCAGAACTCGTCCCATGGAAGTGATGTGTCTGTAGACCTTGCTTTATTATGGTTCCACAGACAAGCTGCTGAATGCTTATCTTTGTCTCCCTGACTTGCAGTTTGGGAACCTCTTCCCTGAGGCTCCAGGTGTGAAACCTGGTTTTGTCACTGAGGAAAAGAGGAAGAGGTGGTTTAGTTTGGTTTCCTGTGGCTAAGGTTTGCTGACTTCTCAGGAATTGATTTTATTATTTTCCTGGGGGAAAAAAATAGCTTTTATAAAATACCAAATAACAGGAATCTTGTTTACCTAGTGCAGATTGAACTGCAGTGTATGTATGTGAGGATCAGCTCCCACTGCCCTATATGCAATGTTCTTTTCCTGGTTTGTGTTCTAATTCACCATTCCTACTTTGGTTATCCTGTCTTCGAACTGACTTCAGTGCTGTTGATTTGCTGCCTCCTTGAGCTTTTCCTGCAGATTTGAACTAGACAAAGCTCAATCAAACCTTCCCTCCTCACCCCCTCCTCCAATAGTGTAGTAGAATCGAGTAAGAAGAATACATGTTTTTCCCAGGGACAGCTGTGCTCTGGTGTTTGTACAGAGCTAAATCTTCAGTAAGATAAAGAAAAATACATTGCACAGGGGGGAATAAATCTTGTTTTATAATGTGGGGTTTCAGACCAGTCCTGCCTTCTCTGGCTCATGAGAGGTTGCTGTACCAAGAGAATCGTTTCCCTTTGTCATGTGCTGACTCCTCTTGAACTCCTCTGTCGCTGTGGTTCTGCAGACTGCTGCAGAATTACTCTTCTTGAATCATATTTGCATATCATTTCCTTTCATCACAGGCTGCTTGCTGGAAGATCAGCTCTCCTGTGTCTTATATTGGTTTTTTGCTTTCAGCCTCAAAGAAAGATGGTTTAAATCTGTTCCATGTCTGCTCTGACCTTGTGTTGGCAGTTTTGTACTGGATGTGTGCAGCATCTCCCTCTTTCTCACTAAGTCCCAAACTGTGTTTCTCTTTAGAGTGGTTATCTAGCGTTTAGCTGTAAGTGAGGCTATTCCCTGGTCCTTTCTGAAACCAATATTAGCAGACAAGTTTGTTACCTTATGTTTGGAAGTTTCAGGCTCAAATTTTAACCTGATGCAGTTTACCTGAGCATGAGCCTCACCTCAGAAAGATCACCAATCTGCTTTCACATGTGCTTTGTGATAGAGGAGAGGTTTTTTGCCTACCATTGATCAAAATAACTCAGTAGAACAAGCCTGGAATTCATCTGCTTCAGCTTCTTCGTTATGTATTAATTCTGTATTTTTATTTAACATGAGGAAATATAAGTCTGACTCCATTCACAGGGATCTTGCATGAGTGCCTGAGCTCCCTTGCTGTTGGCTATAAAGTGCATACAGAGTGTCTGTGTATCCACTTGTGTCACTGCTGGTGGAGGTGTCTGTGTACGTATCTGGATGTAGTGTTGAGACAAGTAATATTGGAGATGCTGTTGGTTTGTTTACAGTAGAAAGCTACTAGTATTTTGATATGCCTGTTTGATCTCCTGTTACAAAACACATGCAGTCATTCTGGTAATAAAAATACCATAAAATCTTACTGTGAGTCATTCTATATGTATATATCTTGGTGTATGCTCAGCTTTAAAAAACACAGCTTCTTAAAAACAGCAAACACAAATGAGTCATATGATCATCAGTACAATGCTAAGCATGCATTAGAGTTTATACAGCATGGTCCATGGATTAAATGATTTATAACAGGTATTTATACCTTATTTGAGGTTCTGGTTTATCTCAAATCTCAAAATGCCCAGAAAGTTCCCTGCAGGATTAGTGCAATGCCAGAATCTCTCAATTCTAGCTAAGCTTTCCTTTCTCTTTCCTGTGAAATTGAAGGAAGGATATCTTCTAGTTCAGTCTTTGGGACAGAAATGTCTTTACAGAATACAGTCTGTATTCTGTAAAGAATACAGAGGAACAAATGTCCTTGTTCCTCTGTATTCTTTACCTCTATTAAAATGGTAAGCAGGACAGCTTTAATCCAGAAGAGAACCAAGACCTCCTATACTCCACTATAATTGAGAAAGAAAACTTGTGTATAAGTGGGCTCAGCTGCATCTCTTATTTCTCTTGTCAGTGTGTTGCAGCTCTGTTTTACAAATTAGAATGCCTGTTTGAGTGTTTTCTTGGGGTTTCTTTCATCTTTTTCATTAAAGAGCTCTTCCCAGTTCTTGTCTTGTCCATAATTTTTGGCTTGTACGTCCCATTAGCTGTAGTGCTCTGTTTGGAGGCATATCTCACCTGCACCTAACAAAGCACTGGCAGTTGTTTCTGTAGGAAATTGGGTAATTTTTGCTGACACAACACTCAGCAGGATTTCAGATAAGGTTCAAGCTCTCCTATGGTTACCAGAAACAGGCTTGGTTGTAGTAGATAACAAAAAACCCAAATATCTTTCCTGTGTTAGGGCACTTGGCTATTGTGGACGCTGACAGGGACTAGGGAGCAGAGGCTTCCTCTGTTGTGCCTATGCTATAATGTTGTGTGAAGAATCTTGCTCACCTGAATGCCTGTTGAAGGCAAGATACTCTAAGTGGTGTACTCAAAGATCTGACTGTTTCCAAAACCTGATTGATAAGTAGCGTGAGTTGTCTCTTCTCCAGTAAAATCAAAGCATGAAGGATGGTCTAGAGGCAGTTTTCATTGTAAATCCATTATTGCCTGTCATGTCTACAGTATTTCATAATAGAAAGTGGGTGATCTCTTGGGAGGAGGAGTGTGGAAATTTGTGGAGAAGAGGAACGGATTTGAGTCTAGTTTTGATGTGGGCATCCTGTCATCTACTATTGGGTTTTGGGTGGGGGTTTTTTTGTTGTTGTCTCAGGGGTTCCTTGAGAAAGGAAGTTATTTTCCCAATCTGTACTTCATAACATACTGCAAAAGGGTCCTGGTCGTGTCTGTTCTGAATAGGTGTTTGGTTTAAAATGTTTGTATGAAAAAAATAGCATTTATCTGCAAGATCCATCCTCATGTCAGATACTTTTTTTTCATGCAGCTCAGATGTGATACATCAGAGACCCTGGATGAGACCATTCCCCTGATTAGAGACAAGTGATGGAAATGAACCACATATGTGCCAAAGTGCATAAACTAGAGGTTTGTCCCTTGTATTAGAAAATTTACATCCTCCTTTTTATGTGTTTTATAGGTCAACTGTCCGGGTATTTATATGGAGCACTCAGATGTTTATTGCTCTCTGTTGTCTTATGTTTGGTTTTAAATCAGTATGTTAGCTCATGGTTCAGCACATGTAAGTGCTTATGGGTTTGGAACATCACTGAGTAATTTGTTGCTGTGGACTCTACAATTCCTAATGGTAAATTAAAATCATTAGTTATGGGTTTGATGTTAATGCTAAAATAATGATAATTTGTTTTGTGGCTTGAAGGATTATCTGAAACTATTTATAACTTCAAAAATTCAAGTCTCACATCAGCTGGACATCCCCATTTTAATTTGTTGATATGTAGTAGTGGAGAGATCTCTGAGCTCCCATCTTCTGTTGTATCTGCTTTGGTGTTTGTTGTATCCTGAATGAGGGAAGCCAGCATGACTCACTAAGGTGATGCCCTCACCATATTTAGTAAGCAGCATGATATAACTTGTGTCAACTGAGGGCAAGTTGGCCTCTGGGAGGAATATAATGAAAACATGACGAGATAAATTGTGTAATGCTTAAAATCAGTTTCAACTGACTCAAAGTGAAAGGAACCCAAGTGTTTGTAGCATTAAATCCAGATAGGCGGCAGCATTTAAGCTTTAGGCTCTACCCCTGTACAAAGTAATATCCTCTAGTAAGGTTTATTGTGTCTGGAGGGATAGGGCAATTGACTTGACTTTCAGCAGGTTTTCTTTAAATGCAATTCATTTTTTGTAGTTTGCATGTTTACACCTACATGTGGTAACAGACTTATGCAACGAGTTCTTATTTTATGGACTTAGCACCAGGAGAAAGCTTCAGACAGGAAACTGGGACAAGGCATTTTAGAACAAAAGTGGGAGTCAACTGATAATCTGCTTAGAAACCTCTGCCTAGTTTTCATAACTGAGTACTCCAGTCCAAGAAGCAGCTAACAGGTTCTCAGCATACTTGACAATTTGGCCATACTTGAATGTATACATCAGCTAGAGCTGTGAAAAATGAATCATGTTCCATACCAACTGTTTCTGGAAGCGTCTCACCCGTTTTGGTCTTTTTTTGCAAATGCCATGTTTATAGGTGGTTGGGAAGTGGAAACAGGAAAATAAAACTCTAAACAAATACTGGTGCCAAAAGTATGGTAAGAACTCCTTAGTACTTTTCCCCCCTCTGATACAGGGAAAGGAAAAAAACCCAAACCTTCCTGATCCCATTCCCTTAGTACCGCTGTACAGACATAGTAATTTGGAATATGAAGAAAGCACCAGTCTTTGCTGGGCTATAGGCACCTTGAATAGTGCAGCAGAATTCTATTCAGAGGCTTTCTTGGTTATCAAGGGGAGGGTAATATCTTGGTTGGCTTGGAGGCAATTTTGCTCCTTAACATTACCAGCTGTAATCCAGGAATCTGAGAATACAAGATTCAGTTGGCAATTTGAGCAGTAGTTAATGTTTTAATTAGAACTTTTAAATGTAAAGCTTAGCATCCATGGGGATTTTCAAGGGAGAAATTAACTTGTACTCTCAAGAGTAAGGAAGGAAAGAACTGTTGTGTAATGGTTATATAGGATGGGAATCTGTTGGGGTTTAATTGTGATGTTGCCACTGGTACATTTTGAGCAATGAATTTACCTGTTCAGCCTCACCTTCCCCATGCCTAAAATGGGCAGTGCTCAACCTCTCAAAAAAAAGGTGAAGCTTAGTCATTATTGGAGAGTCTTTGCAAACTGCTCTGTATTGTAACAGATATATACAGTGTTGTTTCTAGTTAGCTTTCCCTTATGGCTCAAATGTCAACTGAAACTGAAGACATGTATGTTTTAGGTCAATAATCCCTGACCTTTTTTTCAGCTAAATCACTTGTTATCATTTGTTTTGCTGTCTACTTCCTCCTACCACTTTGGCCACTTTCTCATTCTCACCAGTAGTAGTAGCTGTCTCTTTGTGGGTTCTGGGAGGCTTTTCACCTCCCTGCTGAAATGTTGCCAGACCTTTAGACACTATGCAAGTACTTACATGTTCCCTGTGATGAACAGGGAGCAAAAGTCTGCCCTTAGGTAAGGAGAAAAATTAGCCTTAGGTCGTGACCACTGGTGGTTCTCATGGCTGTAAATATCTGTAGTCTGCCTCTGCATATGTGCCCCTTGGATATTTATATTAGCAATAGCTCACTCTGAAATCTTGTTACAGCTTTTTCTTTGACTTTTGATCTCTAGCTACAGTAAGATTGAAAAGCACAGATGCTTTTAATTTTCATTAGATATTTTTAATCTCTCCATAGGCATTGTTAAAATGGGTTGCACACCATTTTTCCTCCTAGAAGAGCAAGTGCTTGAAGCAGAGAAGAGCCGTGGCACCTTTCTTACTGCAGTTTGCAAATTACTTCAGTGTGCAACTGTCTCGTCATTGAAAAATGTGAGTATTTTTAAAGTTGCTTCCAGCAGTTGGGGAAGTGATGTTAAATACCCTTTTCTGTATCAAATGTGCTCTTACAGCAGAATAGTTCCAGCAGTAATTTTTTAGGATCTTTGCATTTTGCTCCTGAATGAAAGCATTTTGTCTGTATATGCATATGCAAATGGGAAGCTTATTATACATCATCTTGCAGTGAGAGACATACGCAGAGATTGTTCTTTCTGTTTAGTCTTTGGTTTTATGTCAATTATGTCAAAATTACTTTATAGGGTCATTCATGGATGAGCAATAGAGGGGGGTGAGGACTCTTCCAGTGAGGTTTAGGGTTATTTGCCTATAGAGGAAGAATGTTAGGTGTCAGGGATAATGGGATCTGATGTGGACTCACGGAAGCTTTATGTACTCTTCATCCTTTCTGTCCCTATTCTTTTCCAAGAACGTCTTCACACCGCTTACATTTACACTCTGTTTTCCTTCTCTAAGCTCCCAGGTCATTCTCTAAATCTTCTGTTCTCCAGCAATTCATCGCAGTCTCCAGTTAGCCTTTTCTGAACTCATCCCTTCCATTCCTCCATCTCCATGTGGTATCTACCTTGTTTTCAGTCTGGGCATACCTCTAGCAGGGTCTTCGCTCTAGTCTCAGCTACTTCCCTGAATTCTTTTCTGCCATTATGCTTCCCTCCTCATTTTATTTCAAGGGGCTGCGTACCAGTGCACGTAATACTGGCTAGGCAATAATACACAGGTATTGGTGAGCATGTGGCTACAGCTGAACCACTTTCTGTTTTGTTGGGTGTCACAGCAAGCTCTGGAAGCCTCAGTTGCAGGAAAAGTCCAGTTCAGTTTCTGCATATCCAGAACAAGCTGTAACTGCTTAAGGAGGATAATGACTCTTCAGTCTGGTTAACAGGGGTGTGGACAGGAGATGGTGCATTCTGATTTCATCTTCAGCCTTCAGACTCTAGTGAATCTTTAGAAAACCATAGTTTACATAGACTCAGTAGAATTGTAACTTGGCCAAACTTCATAATATTTTCATAGGAATGGGAAAATATGTCCCTGATATGAGGGTAGTGCACTGCCAATTTAAAATCTCTTCTGTAGCTCATGAAGGCATTGGAGCTTTTCAGAAGAGCAAAACAACATATACTTTTCCTTAATTTCATTATCTGAGTTGGCTTGGTCTTGTTCCATGAAACTTTCCAGAAATGTTAAACCTTCAGCAGATACCCAGTCTGGAAAATATATCAAAGCTGGAAGTTCTACAAGATTGAGCTGCCTATACAAATAATGTGCAACTGGGACGCCAGTAAGAATGTGGGGAAAACCAGACTATTGACTCAGAAGCTGGCTTGAGTTGGGCTTGAAGACAGTGTAGTGGTTTCCGTTTTCTTTTCCTTATAATTACAAAGAAAAATTTTGAAATATTGTATAATTGTGTATTCATGCTTGAAGGCATCTTAGAATGATGATGTTAGAGAAAAATAAACAGGGAATGGTGTAGCTTCCTACTGTACTGGTCTTCTCTCTCCCTCCCTCCCTTCCTCCCATCCTTTTCCCCCGGAATAGTACAACTAGAAAGCACAACGAGAGAGGTAACAAGGTTGTGTGCAGAAATGCTCCCAGTGATTCTATGAGCACAGATAAGGGGAAGTTCTCTCACAGAAACTTCTAAACAGAGGAAGAGTCAGCCTGAAGGAGGATAGGAATGGATAGGATGGGGATTTGTGAAGCCATTCAGTATGTGGAGCAGGGGAATAGAGAATGGTTATTCATTCCCATAATTCAAGAGCTAGGCTCATCCAATGAAATTAGCAGCAGGCAGGTTCATGGTACAAAAAGAGAGGTACTTATTTCCATCGAGGTACTTATTTCCATCATGTGTTAATATGCTATGGAACTTAGGTGCACAGGGTGCTATATATTCCCAAAGCAATTAGACAAATTCATTGGAAAAAAATCCAACAATGGTTATTAAAGTATCTATTCTTCAACCACAAATTCTTGAAGACTGGGAATTAAGTTTGTCTATTTACCCTTCAAAACTTCCCCTAGACAATGCCTTCCACTGGGTACCACTTAAGAGGGATTATTTGGCTGCAAGGGCCTTTGAATGATGCAGTATAACTGCTTGTTAATAGCTTGTACATTGTGGTTCTCACTGTAAATTCTGGCTTTTAATGACAATGCTCTGTGTGGGTACAGAATTACTCCCAACAGAAGTGAGTGTGTGGGACAGGACAATTGTTTGTCAATGGAGTTTGAATTTCTACAGTAACTTTCCTTTTGGCTTGACTGTTGCCTGAAACCTTATTAAGATCCCTGCCAACTATCCAAATGTTGCTACTCTCTCCAGATCTGTTTTTTTTCTTCTGTTCTTTCTTTCTTCCATCCCTTTTCCCCTATTATGTAGGACACCAATGCAGAGATGCCCCTTTGGCATCTTTTGCCATTTGAAAATTAGGGCTTTCCTGACCATTTTTGTGGGTGACTTTAACTTGTTCTGAAATGACAGTATTCAGCTTGCGTATCATCTCTCCGTAGCTTTGACTGAACTAGTTTGAGAGTGCCCCACTCTCTGAGTATGTGTGTTTATATGTATTTCAGCTAAGTTTTTTCCACTTCTAATTAAACACAGATGCTATTTTAAGGTAAGGGAAATCTTACTTTCAGTGTTTTGCAATTATATTTTAAGATGCAGAAAAATCCAGTAATGTTTGTCTTTTTTATCTTTCAAGGTGGTTTTGGTGTGTTCAGAAAGTTGTTTCATGTGGACTTCCAGTGCACAGCAGCACTGGGAAAGGTATCTGACCTGTAAGAGAAAAGGAAGTAGTCAGAATTCACTCTTTGTATTAGGAATATCCAGAGGCAGTGTGTAAAGAAATGACCTTATACTAAATATAAATTAAAAATACGCCTGGGTAAGCCTGACAGGTTATAAGAATGTAACACCTCCTGTGGGAATAGAGGAGAGGAAATAACTTCCTCTTGTGCAGTTTGCAGCTCTGTGGAGGAAAAGCTTTCCTTCTGTAAAGCTTGAACTTTGCAAGGGAGAAACTGTGATTCCAAACCTTTTATTCCAAGATGTGATCTGTGCCCTGGCTGAATGGGGTGCAGCAACTTTAGAAAAAAGGATGGGAAATCTATTTTAGCATGTATCTTTTCCAATGGAAGAAAACTGAGTGTCAGCATCTTTTGTTGTTCTGTCATACATCTTGTGATGGCTGGCATTTTCTTAAAGCCAGACATTTTCTTTCAGTGTCATTGGCTGAGAATCTTGTCAAATATTTCTCTTTAGAGTAATTTTTAACCCTTGTATAGCTGCAGGGAAAGGCTGATAGAAATTCTCATGCTGATGGTATGAGGAAAAAGTGCATGTTTTAGATTGATTTTCTTGGAGGCTTTTTAATTGTCTTTTCCTTTCTAATGTTGTAATCTCTAGAACAGCAGCTGCTTCTCTGAGGTAGGGTTTTGCTGTCTTGTCTTGGCTAAGGGTTTTTCTGATGCCTGCAGTAGATCCTGACAAAGTGAACTGGGAAACTGATAATGGGGTATGTGGCTTTCTGTGTGGCACTTCATTAGTTCATCTTAGCTCAGTAATAAGCAAAACTTACAGATGAATTCTGACTAAAGTAGCTGGGAAAGAGACCTGTACTTAGCAGTTCTTTTCTGTGGTTCCCAGTGTAAAGAGTGGAGGTGGACACAGACCTTCTGGCTGCAGTCTCCATAGATTGGTAGGAGATTCATCCCCTGAGAGAAGAAAGCTCAGGACTAAGGAGCTATGTAGGGTTAAGTTTTGTGTAATGTAGAAGACAGCTGGCTGGGTTTGAATTCTCATAAAGAAGTCTTAACAAAAATAAAGCACTGGAACAAGAAATCTTTCCTGTATTGAAACTGCGTTTCTTTAACTTCTGCAGATCATCCTCCAAATGTAACTTGACATAGTTTCAGCTTCACTATTTGCTATATATTAGCAATTTCTTTTCTTGAAAACTCTGAAGCAGCACATATTGGGATTTCAGTTACTGTCTCTGCCACTGACAAGGTGTGATCACATATATGTCATGCTACTTCTCTGTGTCCTAATTTACCTCACAAGATAATGTTTGGTGTTTTCAAAATGCTATGAGATTTTTCTGACAGCCTTGGAGAAAAATATTTGCTAAATTATTACTCAAACATACCAGATGGGAAAGATGAGAAGAGAGAAAATAGAGCAGAGTATGTAAAAACTGGTGGTGTACTATGTTCAGATTTAAAACTCATTAATTTTCTAGTGCTAGATACTACCAGCCTTTTTTTAATGTTGGGAAAAATAATATGTACTTAAATATTAGTTAAGAACTTTGGGGCTGTGTTCAGCTTATTTTACCTGAAGCTTGTGCTTGAAGTCCGTCCAGTTCCAGTCTGATTTGGACTGATTCATTAACTGGTTTGGGAGCCCCAGAGAGGTAACACTGGTATTGTGTTGAAAGATGCCACTTAAAAAGGGGAAGTTTCAA